TTAATGCTGCAGCACTCATCCTGAAAAACCCGCTTATATTTGCAATCTTTTCTAGAGAAGCTACAGAAAAAGGCGACAGAAATGATTGAAGAAATAAAATAGTTTCCAAATGACTAAATAGACTGGGACTGTCACCCCAAAGGAGGGATGACTTGGGTGGGGACAAGCTAGTCTTCCAGAAAATCCTAAGTGACATTAGGAAAGTGACTGCTACCTCACCCAGTATGAAGAAATCAAATTAAATCAGCATGTTTCAAAGAAATAAGAGGAGTTATTTCTTCTTATGGTGTATTACTAAACTGTAAAATATATTGCCTTAAGGTATCGTGGATGTGAAAAGTTTACATACTCAAATAACTAGATAAAATCACAACGGGAGGGATGTGGCCATTGGGGACTGCTGTAGGCTAAGATACTACTGCTGTCTTAGAAAACATATTGATCTGTGCATCGCTAGAACTTGGTAGAGTTTATCTTGAAAGTATCAGTGTATGGCTGCACCACTCTTAAGCTCTTCTGTAGGCATCTGCTATGAGTTACTATGAGAGATAGAATGTGGGGTAGGTGAGCCTTTGGTCTTAGCAGCAAATCCCAGTGTGACATGATGAAGAGGAGAACATGTTAAGGAAGTGGATTGTTTCTGCAAATTTCTAATGCCCTGTCTCTAACAAGAAGGCAATACAGTATTTATAATGAAAAAATGAAGCAAGACTCTCATGAAGAAATAACCTTTTATTGAATCATCTGAGAAATAATGTTTTATTAAATTACTTACACATTCAAAAGGAAGAAAACCCAGAAGTTTCAGGTGTATAGGCTTCTCTCCAGATATTTCAATTTAATGAGAAATGTGCTTTTTTGTAAGATTTCCTGTTCTTACCTCTCCAGCATACCTGTTTCCCTTACACTTCAGAAAGGAAGCATTAGCAAAGGGGAAGGTTGGAGTTGGAAACACTGCCTCACAGATAGTAAGTGTGGTGGGGGAGTGGAAAGGTAAGCTTTGTATATAATGAGAAGGCACGCTTGTACATCTGAATTTCAGGCTTCCTAGATAACTTCCTTGTAACTATGTGATTTGAAATCTTCTAAATCATGAAGCCTAGACATGTAGATAGTGAAAAAGGTGTGATTTTTGTGTCAGCATTGGAATAGAAGTTTGTCAGCTAGGCAGAAAATAAACACTGCAGCCAAGTGTAACTGTGATTGTGATAAAAATAAACACTATCCTTGGAAGCTGCAACATATATATTGTGAAACAAGCTCTTTGCATCAGGAATATTTCTCACTTCTCTTGTTGGCATTAGAAATTCCTGATTTTCTTTTTTTTGCTATTTTAGCAAATAGGCTATGTTCTGACTAGGAATGAGTTGTGCAGTCTCTTCATTAAATGCTGAACTATTGTTTTATGATAAATTCATGGCTCATAGACTTAAGTGGAATTTTCAAGTTCCTCTCTGAAAACCCTAGGGCTGTGATTTATTTTTTCCTCTAAAACTTTCCCCACTTAAGACTGCAGTAAAAATTTTACTGACTCCAGTGCTCTTTAAAATTGTATCCTGAACTATGGTACTAGAAAGAGCATAATATTAAAGAAGTCAGACAGCTGAACTTTTCCATTGTCTGTTCTAAATGAAAAGTTTGAGGTTTTCCTCCTTCAGTTAATTACTGCCCAGAACCTTTCAATTGCTCATTTCATGGGGACATGCTATATTTACATGGTATTGCTGTGGTTTTTCTTTGTGGTTTAACCATATACTGGAACAGCAAAGGTCAATACTAACTACAGATTACTTTGCCAAAGTAAGATACACCCATATTATTCCAACCCCCTAATTTTGCAGCTATTAGTTTAGTTTGACTCATGTAAATCAACTCAGTAGCTTAACTCTCAGATTTTAAGGTCTTTTTTTAAAGAGACAGTTTGAGTGGTTTTTTTTTTTCCTTAAACAGCCAAAAGGGCATAGTTTTTATAAGTGTGCAGGCAGTAGACTCAAAATACAAAGTGAAAAATAACTAATGAATGATAGATAAACTTGCATTGCAGTGGGAGAGAAGGGGCTGGATGAGGAAGGACAGCAGCAATGGGAGATCCTTGGCTCAGCCTCTGGTTATTGGGTTGCAGGGGATGTTGTGTTTGTGTGGCAGTGGAAGTCTTCCAAGGGCCATTATTGGAGGTGAATGAGCAAATCTTGGCTGTGGCAGCTGGCAGAGAGGGAGGACTGAAGTGTCCTTTTCCCAGAGCTTTCTGCCCTACAGCCACACTCTTCCAAAGCAGATATTTTTGTGCGATGGATATCACAAGTATTTTTTTTTAAGAGTACATTGTTTTCAGCAGTTATAATGACCTTGATAGGGAAGTCAATGCATTTCTTCTCCTGTCACCAGAATTTCTGCGGCTTGGTGGCATGTGTAAGCCAAAGCCAGTAGCTAAAGTATGTCTTTGCTTTTTGAGAAAGACAAATGTAGATATTTTCCTGAAACTATTAATATTACAGCCTATCAGAAGATGACACTGTTTTATGAAAATGCTTCACCTTTTGAAACTGGACGAAAAATGTTCAGGTATTTAAAGCAACAGTTCTGTCTTAGTTTCTCTTTGCCCAGTTGTAAATATTTCCCAGCATACGGTTTGTGGAAGCCAGTATGAAATAACATTTTCTGGTTTCAGTACATCACGAGGTGAGCAGTCAGTACTTTCAACTGCTTATAGAAGGAATATGGAGAGAAAAAAACACAGAAAGAATCTAAGGTGACTGCTAGCTTGGATATGTACATGGATATAAATAAAAAGAATTGTGTGAATAGTTTGCAACCAATTTAAATGGCTTATTAAAGCTTTTGTAATTTGAGTTGCCCTTGCAAGCATTCACAAAAAGAACATTTTGTTCCAGCTGTATATAAGAGCAACTGGAGCTTTAGATTTGGTGTACAAGAAGGATTTGTCTGTAATGTAAATTCCCAGCATCGCTATGTTTGGTGTCTGGACACTAGTAGCATAGACTCCACATTAAAAGTACACTCAGTTTTACAACTGTTGTTCTCTGGATTATTTTTCATTAATTCAGCCAGCTCCAAAACCTTTAATCATTTGAAAGTTCTTGTTCTGGTCTTTTCAAATACATGACCTGGACAGTGTTTTATCTTTGGTCTATTCTGTCAGTGTTTCAGTGAGTTGTGCTCTTGGCTACAGGACTGGTCATGTGAGGTGTTATGAGTTACTTGGCTTTTTTTGTGGTGGTGTAGGGGTTTTGTCCTGAACAGCTAGAATTTTCCATTCGAAGTTTCTTGGTCACCAGGGTTTGCATCTTGGCTGAAAAGAAATGTGGTTTTAGTAGAAAGTTGGTCTGTAAGCTGATTTCAAGAGGAAATTTGTAATACCTTTAACTGTTACTTTCAGTGCATTAATGTACAGGGTTCGTATTGTATAGTACAACACTGGTGACACACATCACTGCAGAGCAGTGTCAGATTCTCCTCCCCAGGTTGTTCTTTATGTTTTTAGGAGCTACTTTTAAAGAGGCTTACTTTCCATTTTTCTATCTAAATTTATCTCAATTCTGCATTGTATTCCTCAAATCTTTCTTGTATCTGAAGTTTCAGGTAGATTGGTTTTAATCTGCTCACATTTAGAGAGGAGAACAGGCACTTAAGAGTGAAGATAAAGAAATTGCAATAAAAAGCTAGCATGAAGAAGCATACCCCTCTTTCTAAACAAGAAATACCAACTGGTGGCTGATTTGGGCAAGCAATAGTCCCAGGTAACAGATGTCATTCACGTCATAGCTCACATTTGCACAGTGCTGCAGGTAGCGTGTGCGTTGGCCGGAACAGGATCCGAGCTGATTGCAGAGCGAACTGGGAAAGGTAACAGTACTGTGGTGGGCCAACATGCATGTGAAAGAGGAAACTACTCCAGGTTGAAGCGTCTCACACAAGCTTCCTGAATGTGTATTGCAACAGAGGTAGGCTTGGAAGCTAGTGCAGGAGAAATTACTAGACGTTCAGCCTATGGCTGAGGCAATATCTGATAGGCTTAGTAGATGCAGTTGTCCTGTCTGGTCTGATTTGTCACTGTACCTGTGTAGTTCTGTGGAAGGTGGTTTCATGCTGGTAAGGACTGCAGGCTAGAGGAGACAGGGTATAGACACACGCTCTTCTTCCCAAAGATAGGGGGAACTTATGGTAGAGGAGTAGTCAGCTGGAGGATGGTCTCTACGGTTAATATCTGCAAACATTGTGGCGGTGTTCAGTGAAGGTGTAGATGTGCAGATCTTAGCAAGGTGAGCGGTGGTCCTGCCCCCTTTTGCTAATTCAGCAAGACACCCTTAATTAAATTAAGGCAGCCATCTCCTGGCATAGCAAATGGGACAGGTGTTCAAGGAAGTGTGACAATGCAGTGTAACCACCTCCTAGGCTAGGGCTCCAAGGACAAATGCTACGTGTGCTGCAGGTAGGCAGAATTGCTGGCCTCAATGGCAAGCAGTGGTAGTCACCACCCCATAATGAGACATAAATTTATTTCCTAGGAAATGCGCCAAATAAATGGACACCAATGCCATGTTCATGTTACAATGGTTTCTTTTTGTAGAACAACAGTTTTCAGGTCACTGGCTCAAAACTGCAGGAACCAGCAGTTTTAGTGTGTCTAGCACAATGACAATTCCTCCTTCCAGTGGAGCCATGACTAATACTTCGTGTGCACTGTGCATGGTGGAATTCTTTCTATGAAAAGAGGCAAGATAAAGATAATTTTTTGATACTTTTGAAACTTAAGGCCTTGCCTAAAATCCAAGAACATCAGAATGATACCGGAACCTTTCCCGTTGCTTTCCATGGCATAAAAGCTTTCTTTGAAAGACCACCTAAGATAAGGTTGCAGAACATCTTGTGTACAGATTTACTGCTTTGTGAACTCCAGAGAGTTACAGAATAAAAGAAAATTGAAAGATGCCATACAGTTTTTCTAGAACACAAGACCTAAAGCAGCAGAGGATGGAGAAATGGGTGAGTTTGCCTCAGGGATGAGGACAACACTGAATATGTTCTCTGTTCTGGGGGACTGTCCTTTTTCTGGAGCTCTTTATTCAGCTTTTTCCAATAGCTTTTGAAAAATTCAGGTAACCAGAATTTGCCAGAATATTGTGAATCAGGCCTAGTTTAGTGGATGTGGGGTAATTGCCATTCCTGTAATATTTTCCAACCGATGCTGACTGCAGGGAAAGCTGACACTTTCTTTACTGGGGAGTGAGAATTGGGCCTAGGACTGCTTGCTTTTTAACAGTAGATGTGGGAACAACAGCTTTCACATAATAGATTATTTATTTGTCCCTCTGGCTTTAAAAACTGTAAATTTGAGTTTTACAGATGTGGAAGCCCATGTAGAAAATGGCCCATTTCTCTCTTTTTTTTTAATTCGATTGCAAAGTTGCAGGAGGTGTTAATTTTACTTTATAATGTAACTTTTTTACAGGTGCAGATTCACTCTACAGAAATAGCTTCAGCCTCAGTGATGAAAAGCTTAACTCTCCAACTGCATCTACTCCAAGCTTGCCATCTCCATCAGTAACTCCTTGTAAAGGTAAACTTAATTTTAACTGTTGATATTTCTTCCTAGTTCTCAACCATACAGACTTCTTTCTGTGAGTCAGGATTCACATGCATGTATTGACTTTTTTTTTAAATGACAACAAAACTAAGGATTACTGTTAAGTGCACTACAGATGCAAGTATTATTGTGTTGATCACAAACAGCAATAGCACACTGCATCCACACTTCTTCACAGGTGACCCAGCAACTCTTGATTTTGAAACACCGAACTATATCAGAGTTCTTTGATCAGGAATTGTGATATTCCTTACAGAATACTTCACTTCGGAATTAACTTGTGTTAGTTCTTACTGAAGCAGCTAAGTAGTTTGTGTCCCATCTATATACAGAAATATGTAGCCTGAATGCAGGGGTGCAGTAGGTGACTTCTCTGAAGCTGTATGCTGCCATTCAAGTTAACACAATTACTCAGATCCATATAGACCTTGCACTGGCTGGTACAATCCATGTATTAGTAATTCCTTCCTCCTTTGTAGCTATGCTGTTTCAAAGTGGCTTCTGTCTTGCAGCTGATCTAACTCCCCAGGAGCTTGTTTCATTCAGGTTAACTTAGATTAACTCTGGAGTAGACATATCAATAAACAGTCATACATATGTACTACACAGTGTTTTCATTGCAACAAGTCTTCTCAGATGCATGCTCAAGAGCTCTTCACGCTTTCATGCCTTTTCCACAGTGACCAGTCACAAAAAACAAGTTAAATGTTTTCTTTCTAATTAGTGTGCTACTAGGGAGAAATAATCAGTAATAGTTAATAAGAAGTAGCAAAAAAGCGTTCAGTTAAACTGGCAGGAAATACTTGGCAAGGAATTACACTAAAGGTCAAGATGTTCTTCCTGATGAGAAGACAAGAGAAAAATAGAGTTGGAACCAGCTTGGAATAGACCAGAGAAATGAGGTAAGGAAGCCACTTGCAGCAAAACTAGATTGAATGGAACCAGTAGTGTTCTCGGGAGCGGAAATTTAGGTGGATGTTTGGATCCAGATTTATAGTGTATGGGCCAAGATCAAAATATCTGACATCACAGCAAACCAGTGATACTGACATGATTTAAGAGGCTTAGATTTAGGTAGGACTGGGAGCTAACTGGGTGGGGTTTATTAGGGCAGTGAATGCAATATCTGAATACATGCAATAAGGAAGACTCCCACAGTAGCAGGGACATGGATTAGTTGACAGCTTTTTCCTCCACTTCAGCCTCTGCTTTTTAAGGAAACTAAATAGAGAATTGCTTTGCTTTGCTTCTGACAAATGCAAAACTATCAAAACTAGAATTTTAATTCAGTCTCCCCTCTTTTCTAAGAATGCATTTGGACATTGCAGCAACCCTACTGAACTTCCCTGAAAATAATCCACAGCATGTTTCATACCACTGAAAATTACTTGGGGGATTGTGTGGTTCCAATGTTTCTTTTGGCCAGAGAAAGATGTCATGTCTAAGCGGTATTGACTGTCTCTTATTTTGCAGCAAAGCTTGGAGACACAAAAGAACTGGAAGCCTTCATTGCTGATCTTGACAGGACACTAGCAAGTAAGTAGATTTTTTTATTAGTAGGCTGCATCTCACTTGGTACTGTCAAAGAGTGAAAGCCAATGTAAGGGGAGGAGGGGGAAGGGAAGGGTAGTAATAGTTTGACATAACGTGGCTTCATTTTAGTTTGCTAGTCCCATGGATCGTTATGTGGATAAGGAAGTAAAATAGACTAAATTCTGGTCTTTGCCTGAATGTTCAAGGCATGCAGTTTAGCTTGTGTGACAAAGGCTGTACTCTGATGAACTTCTGTCCCTACCTCTGAGGCAGCTGCAATTCACCCCTCCTTGACAGTGTGTAGATCAAGTAAACATTGCTTTCTTAAATACTCAAAACTCAGCTAAAAAGTAGGGTTTTGTTTCTTCATTATAAAGCTAAGTAACTGGAGGAGTAACCATAGGTGAGGGAAACCTTTTTATTCTAGACTTTGCTTTATGAAAGAATTAAGGAGCAGATACCTATCTATTGACTTAGATTAAATGTCAAAATCCTGTTTGTTCTTGTCTTTGCCAGGAATGGAATTTAGATAATTTTTTTCTGTCCCTATCTAGAAATTGTATTTTCCAGTTCCAGGTTCTTCATTAAGATTTTTAAAGAAAAACACAAAACCAAAAAAATGCCCTTCTATTCCCAACCATGTACTCTGCCTATTTTTTTCTGCTTCTTCCTGTGCTGTTACAGACATGATACTGTTCTGTGGGTTTTTTTAATGGAACCAGACTATAGAGCTCAAAACAAGAAATTGTAGGACTAGACCTAAATAGCAGCGTGAACACCCGCCCCACCACCCCCACCCCCCAAAAAAAAACCCCCAAAGCCCTATGAACTGAGAGTTTTGTGTATTCATTAGGTATTTTCCCTTCCCTGTAATTCTTGAAGCCTTGGCCATCTGCCTTGGACTTAACTCAAGACAGCTGCCCTATGAGCTTCCTACTTCCCTGTTGTTTACTTGTATTTAATCCTGGTTTCACTTCTCTTACTTAAAATACATTTCTGGTTTCCTGACTTCTGTCATGGACACATGCTTGAGCTAACTCCATCTTTACCACTGACACCTCACTGACTGATTGCTCTTCTGAAAAACTTGAGTCTGAAGGTTTGTGTAGAACAATGAAACCCCCAAAGCACCAAATACTTACACTGCTGTATCTTGCACAGCCGTGTTGCAGCTAGCTCTGAAGGGGCTACCTATAGTATATTGGTTTCACTGTCCCCTTGCAAGGCACATCTAAGGTGAAGCCAGGGATTGCCACCTGCTGTACTGTTTTGGTCTGTGTCCTCCCCCCTTCTCCCAACTGTAATCTCTAGTTATTTCAGCCGTCTCACTTTTTCACACTGTGTCACTTGTCTTACAGTGATACGCTATCTTTATCATGCAGGGAGATTCTGAGGAAAAAGTCCAACTTCCATCTGATTTTGTCATCACATTTTTAAGGAGTTGTTGTATTTATATGCTTGAAGTTACCTGGAACTTTGTACAGATGTCTTTTCAAGCCTAATGCACTCAGTAGAGCAGTAGTTGCCTTAAATTTTTACACACTAACCTTTTGGCCCTTGTGCTAATTAAAAAAGGGCATAATTTTGACCTGTCAGGCAGTCTAGCAAGCTGGGTATAGACAGGGTGTCTGGTATGTCAACACCATGCAATCTTAAGTAACATAGAACTTAAGGATCTTGTTTTGTATTTCCAGGTATGTGAAGTGAATCTTTGGCATTGTGCTTGCCTATGAATGTCCTCTGAAGGCTAAGTGACATCTCTCACTGAGAACTGCTGCCCTTGTCCGATAACTCTGCTACCCCAGATATTCACCTTCTGAACATAACCTTTGTAAACTCCTACAAGTATTTAACTGGTGACATCAGTTTTGTTACTTCGCAGCAGATGGAATAAGATAACTTAAGTGTTACAGCTGTATTTTGCTTTAAAATATAGCTTGAATTTTAATTTAAAGTTGCATTTATGAAAATATATTTGTAATTTTATATAGTTGAGAACTTTTAATGCTTTTTGCCATTATAATATATTTTTGTATGCAAATAAACCCTGAACTGGAATCCAGATGTCTGAAAGCTTCATATAAACATGCAAACTCTGAAACATAAGTACAGATTAAGCTCTTATTGAAAACATCAAGCTTTAAAACATTTGATAAGGGTGTATTTCCTCTTAGGCAAAATGTGATGCTGGCTTCATGTGGAACTTCATATTTTTCTTTTCAAATTGCTTAAATAAAAGAATTTTGTACTATGTAAAATTAAGACAATCAGGAAAATAATAAAACTGGTCAAACTTACTTCAGATTTCCTTTAATACAAATGAAATAACACTGACTTAGGTGTTATTGCTCAAATCTGTACTATTTCAAACCCTGTGTAAAAGCTAGCTTTAAAATTACATACCATTCTACATGAAGTACTAATTGGGAAGTCAGATGTTTAGGCCCATGGGCTTACAGGTATGGAAATCCTGTATCACCAAGAAAGCACTTAAGTGTCTGCATGTTTCTGATACCAGACCCTTGGGTCCAAAACAATCTACCACTCTAAAAAGACTTCTTGGTCATCAGTGTTGTGCTGAAAGAATGGAAGATGAAGCTGTATTTTTACAAGGAACCTGATTCTTTCCGTATGTATTAGGCACTGGAGATGTCATTATGTGAGCTCTCCTCCAGCTGCTGCAGGCATTACAGTTGCCTCTGCTGTCTGGGCTAGTGCTGTGATTGCTCTCTAATCTGTTCAGACCAAGCGAGCTGGGCTTGTTTGAACTCCAGGTCTTATTTTGACCAAAGCAGGCTAATGAGGAGTTGCATGAGTGGTTCAGATATTGTGCCCCCTTGGTCTGTTATCATCTTTTGGTGTGTCTGTGTCTGGAGAAGGATGTGTCTGTGCCTGTGGCACAGCTATCAGCCAGTTGCTTAGGGACCTTAAAGGATGGATTTGGACCCATTTTCTGCAGCTAGGGGAAAGTCTACTGTGTATTTGCTAATGGGAACACCATGAGGATGGTGCAAATCCATCTCCCTGCTTTGGATTTTCTAAAAATTGGCCAAAACATTTGGATCTTGTTAAACACTATATGAATTTTCTGGTTTTATTCATTGGTAAGAAAATGAAATTCTGAACTGGGTACATTTCAGTTAGTCTGAAACAATCTTGAGGTGGTTGTGTGGGTTTTCTCCCTCCTTTCAGGCAGAAGGGCAATGTAAGATGGTGGAGTATTTTTTATGAAGAGGAAAAACTCGCTGCAACGTTTCCTACCATATGTTTAGGTGGCAAGTTGTCCCTTAGAACAGAGTGAACTGATTTAGGAGGGTGATGCTTCATGTTGCTCTAGGTGAACTGTGAAGTCCGTGAAGGAAGGTGGGATGGTTCAAGTTTGAGACAGTGATGTGCTTCTGCATGCTCTGGGACCTTCTCGGAGGCTCCTGCACAGCAAGAAACCCATTTTGAGCAGCAAGGTAGGCGTGCTCTGGCAAAGCCAGAGCACTATGGAAATTCACTGCTACTACATGATGAACACACAGGAGCAGATCCTCCTTTTGGCTGTCTCTGTGAAACTGAGAGGGGAGCCTGGCCCTTCTCTTGGGTCCCAGATGCAAAGGGATGTGTGGCTGTGCAAAGCCAGGGAGGGGGATTCCCTTGGCTGGTGTAGGACTTGCTGTTACATGGGGTGGGAGAGGCACTTTGCCTTTCAGTAGAAGCTGACGGAAGGGGAACCGGGAGACCGGAGATGAGCTCACACTTTTCTTTTAAATAACATCATTAGCATAAGGCATGTTTTTAAAGCTGCTGGAATAGTAGCAGCAGTTTGGCTGGCTTTCTGCATTTTAACGCTCTTTGGTAGGGTGAACGATGGAGTGGTGGTGAATGGTGGATGTTACCGTCCTGAAGGCAGAATACCCTGACTAAGCGTGAGTTAAGCCAGGAGTTTTGGAAGAGACCACCTCAAGCGATCGCAGGGTATGGGGGAGATGGACAGCTGTTTGTTCCTCAGATTGGATTGTGTGAGGCATTGGGCATGAGTTTTCCACTTTCCCTCTGCATGTTCAGTTGTTGCTTGATCCTGTCGAATGTTCTGGGCCTATAATCAGTAAAGTTGGACGTCTCCCTTTATAGAGTGATATCACTAAATTAGTACAGTACTTCGGAATGGCAATCCTTTGTCCTTACAGACACCCAATTTTGAAGATCTTCCCGGTATAAGCAAAGGTTTAAAGCAAGGCATGTTCTTCATTTTGTGTAATGTCAGTTGGGGATGGAGTTGGGGATTAGGTCACCATCTGTTTGGGTTTTTTAATCTTATTTGTACATGAGCAGGTGGAGACTTCTGCTTGCTTATACAGCAGTTCTGGAGGTCATCAGCTGCAAAATCTGGGAGTGTCTTCTGCAGAGCTGTTGATCTGAATTCCCTCCGGTTTGTTATGCTCAGTTTTGAACCTCTCGCTGTGTCAGAAGGAAGACAGTAATGTAGCTGTCATTTCACTGGCGTATGATTATGGCTTAAGTTCATTGTCTAATTACATATGGCACTGAAAAATGCATTGCTGAGAAAAGTTCCTGCAATACTCTATCCCCAGTGAGCACTGCTGGAGGCTGCACTGTCTTTATGGACCAGCATGACCTTTTAATCCTTGTTTTGACCTCCCTCTTGTGCTGTGATGCTGAATTTGGATTCAGAAGAGACTCAGCCCTGTCGTGCCAATGCCACGCATCCAGAAATGGAAACAAGGAGCTTAGACTAAGCAGATGTATTGCCACAGCTTAACGTATGTAAGGTGAGGTGCAACAATTATTTACACGTATGCTCTTTACCTGTTGTAAATTCAAGGTTAAATGGATTAGTTTAAACCTCCATCACTGAGGCTTGAGCTAACGTGTCTTATCTTGGGTTTGCTATTGACTGTGTGTGTCCTGGGTGCCGTCACCCAGGCTCGGCTGATACGTGATAACTCATTAAGCTTGGTAAAGTGCTCATTTTTCTGAACGCTTAATAAAAGAGAAGAGCCAAAGGAGGGATTTTCTTTTTTTTTTCCCCCTGGCTGCATCTGTGTCTGTAGCCACCATTGATGCACTGACAGTCAGGTGAGTATTTGGGAGGGAGGAAAACGGTTGCGTTTGCAGTGATGGAGTTTGCTTATAGGGAAGGACTCAACCCCTACCAGCCCCTACAGCCTGTTGTCCTAGTGCCTTCCCCCTGCATCGTTACTGGTATTGGCTTTGCAGTACACGCTGGGCGTGGAACTGATTTTCAGCAGGGCTACCTAATGCGAAGGATCAGAAGGGGGACAAGAAACCATGTTCACAGCTTCACAGATTCATGTAAACCTTGGTTGCAGTAGTGGATGCTTGCAAAGAGAAAACCCAGACAGAGCGCTTCTGCCTGCTGGGAAACATTTGTGTCTGCAGACACAAATTTTTTTAGTTTGTATGGTTAATTGTTGCTTTTAGATCATTGTCCAGCTGCTTCACAGCTGAAGTGAAGGGAAAAGAATTCACCAGTGGGAGAGGTCTACCCAGCGTGGGTCTCTGTAGAGGGAACTCAGATGCAGATCATCTTGGATGGTGTTCAGCTCAGATGGACCCGGTTGACCATCCAAGAGGTATCTGCACCACACTGGAGTCCACGTTACGTGAGATTTCATTTATCTGAAGGTGCCTAAACGTGCTAGACATGACATCTGCTAGACTGCTGGAGAGAAACTTCCAACATTGTGATGTTTGGAAGCAAAGCCAATCATAAAGCCAATATGACAGCAGCAGCTCTTGAACTAAATCCAGCTCTGCATACTAACAGCACGAACTCCATATTCTCAACAGGGAAAACTCCTGTTTGCTATGTTACTTTCTACATTAATGACTTCATTGCAGCCTGGCTAACAGCTCTAGCTGTCTAAATAACTTCACAATAATGTAAGATGATCCTGGCTGCTATATCTCATCGGCTTAGAGCTGTAAACCAAATCTTTTCAAGGTCCTTTTCTTTCTTACAGATTCAAGGCTATCAGTTAAATGCTGTAGATTGGCTTGTGGGATTAAAAAGGCCAGTCAATACAAAGGGATGCTAGTGCTTTGGTTGCTCCTGCTCTTTCATGTCTATGTTTTGGAAATGAAAACATTTGTCAGTTCAGCTCTTAAAAAACTACAGACTAGAGGCCTGTGCCTGTGTTCTCCCAAGGCATGCAGAACTCACTGGCTTCTCTGGGAGGCTTGCGGATGCTTAAATGTGCTTCAAGCTGGAAGCGAGTGTTGCCTTCTCCATAGAGTATGGCTGTAATACTGACCACCATCCTCTGGTTCTGTTTATAGTGTATTTCAGATCAGTATTTATAATTAAGAACATTGCCCTTGTCTCAAAAACCAGACCACAGTAATTTGGTATATATGCAGTCTTCACATTTGCAAAAAGAAAAAATCTTGCTAGCTTATCAAATCAGGTCAGGACCGATCCCACCTGACTTACGCACTTAGGTAAAACACTGAAGTTAGGATGTTGCCCTTGGCTCCTTCAACAGCCATTACAAGGAGAGGGAGGCTGAATTATCCCCTGATCCTGATGATGTTCCTTTGCTACAGCTAATATTGCAAAAGACTGCGCATGAGCAGGCTTTTCACTTGGGCTTCTTAATCTTTTCTGCCTAAAGATAAGTGTGTGTGTTGAAATAAATCTGCCTACGACTGGCCTTAGAGTGTAACAGTTTGTGGAGCTGGAAGAGCAGAGGCAAAACTACCCAACTGGCCAGGGTGACCTGTTTTTTTGAAGCTTTGCGTCACATTGTGCAAGCATGGCAGCTTGCTTCAGCCCTGTGACTTGGGGCATCTGTCCCCCACCCCGTGCCAGGCAGGGTAACAAAGGGAAGCCCCGGGCTGGTGCTTGGGTGCCATGGTGCTGACCTCCAGGCATTTGCTTTTTGGCTTTAGGCACCCTAAGAGCGTGCTCTCCTCTTGCGCCGCTCCCCGCTGGTGCTCTGCGTCAGCAGCCCAGCTAACGTACCCCACCTTGTCCTCAAAGTCAGGCCAACCATGCTGGTGTAGCAGGTTGTCTGGAAGCTTTGG